GCCTGCCTTCCTTCGCTCCAGGCGCCTTCCTCTGCCCTCCTAGTCAAAGCTCTGTCTTGGAGCGTCGTCCTGATATGCCCTGGTTGTGGGTTTGCTCCCTGGTCGGTCAGGGCACATACACGAATCAACCAATGAATGCGTCAATGAGTGGACCAACACATTGACCACCTCCTCTTTCTTCTGTCCTCTCTCTAAAAATAATAATTTTTTTAAAAAATACATCAGCCCGGCTGACTTGGCTCAGTGGTTGAGCAGTGACCTATGAACCAAGCGGTCACTGGTTCAATTCCTGGTCAGGGCACCTGCCTGGGTGGTGGGCTTGATCCCCCGTGGGGGGCATGCAGGAGGCAGCAGATCAATGGTGCTCTCATCATTGATGTTTCTCTCTCTCTCTCTCTCTCTCTTTCTCTCTCTCTCTCTCTCTTCCTCCCTCTCCTTTCCTCTCTGAAGTCAATAAAAAAAAATTTAAAAAGACATCACTCTGACCTCTGCTTCTGTCACCACATCTTCTCTCCTCCTCAGTGGACGCTTGTGGTTGTGTTGAACCTTCTCAGACAACCCAAGATTATCTCTGCATCTCACGATCCTCAACTTTAATCACATCTGCCAAACTCTTTTGCCGTGTGAGGTGACGTATTCAGATTCCAGGAATTAGGACACAGACATCTTCGGGTGGGCACTGTTCTACCGACCACCGTGACTTAAAAAACAGAAGAGGCCACATACCTGCCTCAGTTGCAAAAGCATCTTTTTCCTCGAGACTTTGAGAGAAACATTTTTCAAACGTAATTTATCCTTCATATTATCCTGAAAAACAAAGGCACATTTTAATCCATTTCTCTTCTTCTTCCCTGTATTTGTCCTCAGTCACTTTGTGCCGTCCCAGCTTGTGGAGTCTTTCGAGATCCCACGTCAATCCAGCGCGCGTCCCTGGACGTGTTAATTCTCCTGCCCAATGTTGCGTCACTGTCCGGGGCCACCTCCGACATGCGTACCATCGTACCATCGGGGCCCAGGTTCAAGCTCACAATGAACCCCTCGAGCGAGGAGAGGACGGAGCCCTGTCATCACACCCGGAGACCCTCCGCACGTCCGCCTACCGCCTTCAGGTCAGCTGTCCAAGGACCCACCAAGGCATACGACAACCCTGCCACCCCGGCCACATCCCCGAAACCATCCACAAGTACGACGCGATGAGGGCCTTTTAAATTCAAGTCAACTCTGTCTACGGATTTAGCAGCATAGACACTGTATTAGTTTCCCACGGCTGCTGTGACGAATCGCCACACACTCAGTGGCTTATCAAACAACACAAATCCACTACCTGACGGCTCAGGAGGCCAGAGCCCGAGGCCGTTCTCTGGGCTGCAATCAAGGTGCTGGCAGGGCCGCCTCCTTCCGGAGGCCCCTGGGGAGACCGCTGTCTCCCCCTTGCCAGCTTCTAGAGGCGCCTGTAAGAAGAAGCAAAGGAAGCTGGGTCTGTCCTATGCAAATTTTCTATTGCTTTTAAATTCAGGATAATTTGGGTAGAGGAGCCTTCCCAGACAAAATGATTTTATGATTCTTTGGTCTTGTGTTCTCTTTCTTGGTTTACATAATTTTTATTATTTATAACCGATTCAGGTTAGTAAGCCAACCCATCTTCAGAATCCAAAGCTAATACACTGCAAAATCTTTGAAAATGAAGGAGCATTTTATAACTCATTCTTTTAAAAAAATTTATTTATTTTAGAGGGAGGCAGGGAGATGGATAGAGAAATAAAAACATCCATGAGAGAGAAACATGGATCGGCTGCCTCCTGCAGACCTCCCACTGGGGATGGAGCCCACAACTCAGGCATGTGCCCCGGCCACATCCCCGAAACCATCCACAAGTACGACGCGATGAGGGCCTTTTAAATTCAAGTCAACTCTGTCTACGGATTTAGCAGCATAGACACTGTATTAGTTTCCCACGGCTGCTGTGACGAATCGCCACACACTCAGTGGCTTATCAAACAACACAAATCCATGGACTCGTTCTTATAATAATGGAACAAAACGAGCTTGAGATGTACCTGTCTCAGTCCACACCGTCACTTGACTGGATAGGCTCATATGATTCTCAAGGAAACATCAGTCCTGGCCGGCCGGCCAGTGTGGCTCAGTTGGTTGGAGCACTGTTCTCTACACCGAAAGGTTTCTCAGGTCTAATTCCCAGTCAGGGCACATACCCAGGTTTGGGGTTCAATCCCTGGTTGGGGCACATACAGGAGGCAACCTGTTGAACCTTCTCAGACAACCCAAGATTACCTCTGCATCTCACGATCCTCAACTTTAATCACATCTGCCAAACTCTTTTGCCGTGTGAGGTGACGTATTCAGATTCCAGGAACCTCGCTCACATCAATGTTTCTCTCTCCCTCACTTCCTCTCTCTCTCAAATCAATGCATGTCCTTGGGTGGGGAAGAAAGAAAGAGAGAGAGAGAGAGAGAGAGAGAGAGAGAGAGAGAAAGAGAGACGAGACTTTGAGAGAAACATTTTTCAAACGTAATTTATCCTTCATATTATCCTGAAAAACAAAGGCACATTTTAATCCATTTCTCTTCTTCTTCCCTGTTGGCTTGAAACGGTTGGTAAGTCTGAGGCTACAAACCAAACCTTGAGCCCTAACAATCAGTCACTTATTTTAAGGTCCTTTTACATCTACGCAAGCTAGTGTTGCTATAGCATTTCATTCATCACCAAGAAGGGAGGAAACATATCAGATCTTGAAACAAATAGCAACAATAAAAACAAGTCCTCCATCTGAGATACTGTTGATACTCGCCCTGCCTGACTGATTGAGCCCGGATAGATTTGCATTCTAAAGCACACACACGCGGGGAGATGTAAAAATCCTCACATGGAGCAACGCTGATGCTGGACCAGCTGCGGTGGGGCTACCTCCCGGGATCCCTTCCACGTCATCCTTCAATGACTCCCCTCTCCCTTTCTAAGCGCCAGCCTCCTGCCGACTCACCCTCCGGCGGTTCGCGTCCTCAATGTACTTCAGCACTTTCTGAGTGGCCAGGATACTCCCTTTCTTCTTGGCGATGGTTTTCAAAATATCTTTTTCAAACTCTTGCATTGCTTTCTGAACTTCAGCCATCCGGATTTCAGCTTCCTCAATGATAGCCTGGGGGAGTCAGCACAGAGAGAGAACAGTTTGCGAAGGTTCTCACAGATGAATCCCACCTTCCCAGGCCTCTTTGCACCCAATATACTATGTTTCTTCTGAGTCTTAGAATCATACCCTTAAGATGCAGATGTGACTACATGAATGTTATTATGCAAAAGCATACCTCAGAAAAGTTAATAGTAAACATAAAAAGGCGACAAACAACAACAGAGCCTCAGGGATCTTTATAAATATGTATTTTCATGTCTAAAATATTTATCCATTAAAATTATAACATTCATATAATATATAATAATAAAAGAGTAATATGCTACGTGAATCCACGGATCTGTCCCTCTGCGGACAGCGAGCGTGTTCCTGTGTGTGGGCCCACGTTTAGAAATGGAACAATTTAGAGCTGGAACAGAAATATCTTTTTCATACAACACGGCTCTCAAATACTAGTAGAAGCCCACACCTTCATCACATGGGCAACCTCATTCACAGTCCCGCATCTTCCCGGGAGGAAAACTGGCCTTGTTGGTCTCCAAGGAGGCATGGACCACAGTCATGCATGTTGCATAGGGAGGGAGACTTAGGGATTTTTCAACCAACTCACTAAATTAAACCTCAACCCCCTTGTATTATTAAGAAATTATTAGTATACATTTTAAGGGGATGATTATTATGGTTATTTTATTTTTTAAATATATTTTATCGACTTTTTTTTTAACAGGGAGGAAGGGAGAGGGATAGAGAGTTAGAGACATCGACGAGAGAGAATTATCGATCAGCCTCCTGCACCCCAACGGGGGATGTGCCCGCAACCAAGGTACATGCCCTTGACCGGAATCGAACCTGGGACCCCTCAGTCCACAGGCCGACGCTCCATCCACTGAGCCAAACCAGTTAGGGCGGTTATGGTTTGTTTGTTTTTTTAAAAAGAATCCATATCTTAGAGACATATCCTGAAATATTTGCAGATGAACAAGACGCCCAGGATTCATTTCATGACAGCCCGCTTGCCTATTCCAGGGGGGGAGTTGGTAGGGATATGGAGGAAACAAGAATGGCCATATGATCATGACTGTTGAATGTGGGTGCTAAGTATATAGGGGTTTCATTGTGCTAGCCTCTGTTCATTTGTATAATTTTGAAATTTTCCATTAAAAATTTTTTAAATTTGTTTTCTCTTCAAGGAGGTGGTAAGTTCCTTAAAGGTAGGCCCTCTCCCCGGCCGGTGTGGCTTAGTTGGTTGGAGCACCGTCCCGGACATACACTGAAAGGTGGCGGGTTCAATTCCCGATCAGGGCACAATTCCCAGGCTTTGGTTTGATCTCTGGTCGGAGCGCATGCAAGAGGCAACTGATCCATGTTTCTTCCTCACATTGATGTTTCTCTCTCTTTCCCTTCCTCACCCCCTCTCTCTAAAATCAATGGGAAACATATCCTTGGTGAGGATTTAAAAAAAAAAAAAGCCTGGCCGGTGTGGCTCAGTGGTTGAGCATCAGCCCAGGAACCAAGAGTTCCGCAGGTTCGATTCCCGGTCAGAGCACATGCCTGGGTTGAGGGTTCGATCCCCTGTGAGGGGCGTGCAGGAGGCAGCAGATCGATGTTGATGTTTCTCTCTCACCGATGTTTCTATCTCTCTATCCCTCTCCCTTCCTCCCTCTCAAAAAAATAAATAAATACTAGTAAAAACATTTTTACAAAATAAAATAAATTAACCTAATCCATCATGTCAATAGACAACAACAACAACAAAAGTAGGGCCTCAATTTGTCTTAATTGACTTGTATTTCTTTCAAAGTGCAATCAATCACTTGAACATCCCATAGGTACTTCCTGTAAGATGGACGGGCGGAGGGAGCCCCAGTGGGGGGGCCTGCAGGGAGAAGGGGTTACTACCTCGTGATGCTGCAGGTCCCGCTCGGCGTTGGCCCTCAGGTGCCTTATTTCCTCCTTCGTGTCTTCCAGCTCCTTTCGCACGAGATCGCATTTTTGGTCAACGCTGAGGCTGGACGTACGGTCCGGGCCTGAGCGGGATTTGGACTTGCGCCTGCCTCGCAACTATACCTCGGGAAAAACAAAGCCGCTGTCAAGAAGGCGTTGGTCACAGAGCAGCTGAAGGTGGCATGGACATGTCTTCTCTGAGCTGCTAGAAAGTACTTGAATGACAGCCGGAGAGAACAAACTCAAAGTGAGAGGATTCTGGATATTAGGCCGGAGGTGACACCTATTTCACCAGCCAACCTAAGGCCTAAGCTTGACGAGGAACTGAAAATGAATCAGGGCCAGTGTCTCCAGGATGGAGAGATGGTGAACCTGCTCTGGACTAGCATTCAAGTCCGTGCCAGGGAAAGCCCGGAGCTCAGAGCTTCCTGAGCTGAACACAGAAGAGAAATTGGATCCGGGGGGACAGGAGTCAGCAAAAACAAACAAAGAGACAAAAATGTTGGGTCTCCTATGCATTTGAGCCACGGGTCACACGCAGGTGGCCCAGGAAATATGTGGACCTCAAGATGGGATTGCTTGGCTCTCAAAGGATAGGCTTACACACGATTTTTAATTTAAAAAAAATTAATTAGCCCAGCCAGCGTGGCTCAGTGGTTGAGCATCAACCTATGAACCAGGAGGTCACGGTTCAATTCCTAGTCAGGGCACATGCCTGGGTTGCAGGCTCGATCCCCAGTGTGGGGTATGCAGGAGGCAGCTGGTCAATGATTCTCTCTCATCATTAATGTGTTTTTTCTCTCTCTCTCTCTCTCCCTCTCTCTTCCTCTCTGAAATCAATAAAAATATATTTTTAAAAAATCAATTACCCACACTTGAAAATCAGGAAATTCCACCAAAATAATTCACATTTCCAGCTTCTCTTGAAAAATCAACCACTCTTGATAACCCCAGGCCACTTGGTTGGCCCTCGTAGATGAGGAAGGAACTTTCCAGTTGCCCACACAGGCCCACTTCACCTCTTTCTGCGCCTTGCTTGGCCCTGTAAACATTTTGAGTCTCCCAACTTAAGGGAACTATTTCAAACAAACGAAGATATATTCTGGGAGTGTCAATCCACTATTAATTAAACCTGATTGCCTTCACACTGACTTAAAAGAGAAACCTTGAGAAGGAAGAAAGAATCAAAATAAGAACAGGGACAAAGTCATATGTCCTTGACTTGGCCAAAGGCGGTACACCAAAGGCAGATGCACAAATACCGCTTGCCTCTAAACTTTAGAGTCTAAAGGGACAAACAACTCTTCAATTGTGTACCTGTGAAAAATCTGTTCCTGATATTTTAATGTCAGATAACCGCAGCATTCGCTGTTCCCTGGATTCCAGTTTATTTAAATATTTCTGAAACATCTCTGTCTCCGTTTTGAGAGCAGAGTTTCCATAGCTGCAAGACAGAGTGTACCCGAGTAAGTTCCATTAGTAGGTATGTCAACACCAAATCAATAGTATTTAACACTTCCTAGCTAGGCATGACCTTCTACAAGATACTTAACCTCTTAATGCCTGTTTCCTCATCTGTAAAATGGGAATAATCACAGCACCTACCTTTTAGGGTTGCAGTAAGGAATGTAAAGCCATCAGGACAATGCCTGGCACATAGTAAGTACTAGCTATGTATTTGATATGTTTTTAATACGTCTAATGAGCCACAGAATTCAAAGCAATAATATTACATTGAAAATTGTGGCTGAGATGAAGCGACAAGTTTCATCTTCAAGCATCTTCTAACCCATTTGTGAAATTCCTTCCGAATTAATTCATTCTTGAAGTCACATCCATAATCTTCAGATGTTTCCTTTGGTTTAATTTTTCAGGTTTTTTTTAAAATTTTGTTTCCTCTGTCTTTGTTCCCTCACCCACCTTGGGACTTACTGCACCATTATTATTTAAGATCACATATGCAAAATACTTGGCGCGGAATAGGCACTCAAAAAATAAGAGCTATTAGTGCCTTAGCAGGTTTGGCTCAGTGGATAGAGCCTCTGCCTGGGGACTGAAGGGTCCCAGGTTTGATTCTGGTCAAGGGCACATGCCCGGGTTGCAGGCTCCATTCTCAGTAGGGGGTATGCAGGAGGCAGCCTACCAATGATTCTCTCGCATCACTGATGTCTCTCCCTCTCCCTTCCTCTCTGAAATCAACAAAAAATATATTTAAAAAATAATAAGAGCTATTAGTAGTCATACCTCAGCTCAAACCTAAACTGGTTATAGACGCCTGGCAGAACAGCTATGTAGCCAGAGCCAGGATGTTGTGTGAGACCAATGAGTGGTATAATTACCTCCACTACATCATGGAATCTTGCCATCCAATTTACCTTCTATAGTCGATAGAAAACAGACTGCTAAAAATACAGAATACTGGGCCAGTTACTCTTTTTTTTTAAAATATATTTTATTGATTTTTTACAGAGAGGAAGGAACAGAGACAGAGTTAGAAACATCGACGAGAGAGAAACATCGATCAGCTGCCTCCTGCACATCTCCTACTGGGGATGTGCCCGCAACCCAGGCACATGCCCCTGACCGGAATCGAACCTAGGACCCCTCAGTCCGCAGGCTGACGCTCTATCCACTGAGCCAAACCGGCTTCGGCAGGCCAGTTACTCTTTTGTTGTTCATCTCCATGCTGATAGGATGGTCCAGGCATAACTTGACTCCTACTAAAAATATCAGCTGCCACTTTCATTTTACCATAGATTCTTAGCATTGCAAAGGTGCTTAGAGGTCGCCTGGTCCAACCAGCCACCGCCGAGCAGAGGATGGGCTAAGCATACATTTTGGCACCAGGCAGACCACCAGGCCGAGGCTCTGGCTTCACCCATTACGCTCCACCGGCCCCAGGCCCTCACACCTCCACATTGTTCTCGCTCCATCAATGGCTTGTTAGTTCAGTGGCCACAGACACACAGCGGTAAAAGGCAAAGGCGACTATTTCCCCCACTTTGTGGGGGTCTCAGTTTCTCAGTGTTCAATGCGGTCTGGACCGTCTCTGAGGTCCCAGGCCACACGGTTGAGTAAGGGCCGCCCCAGAAGCCAGCGGGCCCCGTACCTGAGCTCTTCGACCAGGCTGAACAGCTGGATAACAGGCAGATCGTTCTCCTCCGCGATCTGAAATTCGCTGACAGTCGTGTCGGTGTCATCGTCAGTCATCATGCTAACCAAGCGGCCCTTGCCAACGTCAGGTGTGGCCAACCCAGAGCGCCCGGTGCTGGCGGCTACGCGTCGCTCCGGCTGCAACCAGGCAGTGCGTTGCCTGGCGACCGGACGCGGGCGTGAATGGGGCGTGGCTTCAGGAGGCCCCGCCCAGCGCTCCCCCGCCCATCTCCGCGTTGCCTTGACCAGGCACCTCAGCGCGTTTGCTTTTACTTCCTCAACAATAATTCTTAAGATGATAATAATAGTAAGGGCTGTTTCTCCAGCACTTACTATGCCCTTGCCACCTTTGCAGCAGCCTTGTAATAATATCCATGACTCTCTTTACTCTCCAAACGAGGAAACGGAGACGCAGAAAGTGAAATCCACTTGTTGGAGTGTTTTCCTTCCTCTACCTCACTGTGAGGCTTCTACTCTGCTCACCACCTGGTGCTTCTTGCATACGAACTGCACTTTCTCTTAGATACCAGTATCCTGCATCCCTGAAAGGAAAAAAAACAAACAACCTGGCTGGTTATTAAATGAATATACATTCAAGAGACCGTTAGGCACCGAATGTGTCCTGAGCAGCTCGGGGGACTGTGTGGAGCACACCACGCCCACCTTCAAGGAGTTTCCAGTGAAATGATGCAAACAGTTCCCAAATCAGCTCGTTGCAACCCGAGAGGTTATGCCTCACACCGTTTCGTAGTTATCATCTCATCGAAGCCTCAAACGTCTTAAGGAATTGGTATTACTGTCTTCATCATACAGACCAAGAAACGGAGGGATAGAGTAGATTAGGTGAGTTGCCCATGGACACACAAGAATGGCATCAAGCCCTAGCAGGTTTGGCTCAGTGCAATAGAGCCTTGGCCTGCGGACTGAAGGCTCCTGGGTTTGATTCCGGTCAAGGGCACATGCCCGGGTTGCAGGCTCCATCCTGGGTAGGGGGCGTGCAGGGGGCAGCTGATCAATGATGATCTCTTATCATTGGTGTTTCTATCTTTCTCTCCCTCTCCCTTCCTCTCTGAAATCAATAAAAAAAAATTTTTTTTTAATGAATGGAATCAAGTTCTTAACTTCTACACCGATGTGCGTCATGGTCATGGCAGGCCTGGGTGAACAGCAGGGTAGCTTTCTTCTGCCCCCGTTGGGATAGAAGAGAACAGGATGGGCAAACTTCTCTGAGGGGTGGGGGAGAGGTGCTGGAAGTGAGTAGGAAGCAGCTGGGATAAACTGCTTAGGATGAGGGTCGGCCACCTTCCCCCATGAGGAACACGTAGTCACTAAACCCCAAAGTGCTTTTGTTTTGCTGCTTAGGGGGCACAAGTTTGGGACCAGAGTGGATTCCTGAAGATGATAGAGAGCCTGAGCCCTGCCCGCCTTCTTCTCTCTGGTGGTAGGCCCTTTGGGCTCTGGGAGCAGTGCAGATTGCCTTTAGACATACTTAGCATGCTCCTGGGCCCGGGCATACAAATGGATGCCAGTCCCAAGAGGGACTGGGAAAAGATGTAGCGTGCAGCTGAAGTATGGTACCTATTTGCTTTGCTTAACAATAGAAAAGTTATTTTGATTTTCTGAATTGTATACATCATCCCATTGGATTGAATGACTATCCCATTGATTGTTATCTTACTGGTTTTAGAAAGCACATTCTTCTGTACCTGGGAAACAGGACAGCACAATTATCCTACATTGTTTTGGTGGCCACAGATAATGCATTCCAGTTGACTCAGTGGTCCCAAGACCAGGACAGCGCAATTACTCTAAATTGCCTCGATGGCTCTAGATAATGAATTCCTGGCAACTCAGTGGTCTTGAGACCTGAGGGCTCTAGATAATGTGTTTCTGTCAATTCAGTGATCCGGAGACCCCAAACTGTAATTTATTTTTTTTAAAAAATATATTTTATTGATTTTTTACAGAGAGGAAGGGAGAGGGATAGAGAGTTAGAAACATCGATCAGCTTTTTCCTGCACACCCCCTACTGGGGATGTGCCCGCAACCAAGGTACATGCCCTTGACCGGAATCGAACCTGGGACCTTTCAGTCTGCAGGCCGATGCTCTATCCACTGAGCCAAACCGGTTAGGCCTCTTGATGCTTTTAAGATTCTCTGTTTATCTTTAATTTTTGACAATTTCGTAATATGTCTTGGTATGGACCTTCTTGGGCCCATCTTCTTTGGGACTCTGTGCTTCCTGGACTCGAGGTCTCCATCTTATGGCTATGAGATTTGGGAATGACCCCTCATAGTCCTGGATTGCAATAAATGTGACTCTTTAATTCGACTTCTTGAGGCGTCCTTCTGTGATTCACGGGGTACATTCCAACACAGCTTTAAGGAAGATCCAGGGAAATCACAGTGCAATACCTGGAATTGTGGGGAAAGACCACGCGGTCCACAGCAGGAAATGTCATGTCTTCTGAGAAGCAGCTCCTGGCCCGTCGGTTTGGCAGCCGTTCACAGTGGATGGTCACGTGAAAACCTGACTCAGCTTGCGAGCTTTAAAGAACAACCCTAAAAAAAAAACACAAAAAAAAAACAAAACAAAAGAACAACCCTGCCAATTGCCATTGTTATTTCTTAACATATTTATCATCACTCGGGTAATATTGTTGCTCAATAAAAACACGTATAACAACGGTTATTTTAGATTCTATTTACTGAGCGCTACCTACGCGCCAGACGCCGTGCTGAGCTGAGCACGTCCCACACCTTATCTCACGCCATCGGCCTGGTGGTGCGAGGAGATGCTGGTACCTTCTCAACCCTCATGTCACTTGGGAGGAGACAGAGCCGCAGAGAAGTTGAGCAACTTTCTCAAGGTCACGTAGCTATTCCGGGTGGGGCTGGAATTCTAGCCCAGGTTCATCCCACTCGGCTCTTTCTTCTCCTCCTATCCACCCTGTGAGAGCAATGGCTGGGGGTAGGGCCTAGGGGAGGGACGATCTGGAGACATTTTTGTTTGTTATAACCGAGGGGGGGGCGTGTCATCTAGCGGACAGAAACCAGAGGTTGCGCTGGTATTAGTTTCCCAAAGCTGCTGTAACAACCACAAATGGGGTGGCTTAAGACCACAGAAAGGTATTGTCCAAATTCAAGGTGTTGGCAAAGCCACACTCCCTCCAACGGCTCTGGGAGAGAATCCTGTGACTTCTGGCAATCCTTGTCATTTCTTGACTTTGAATCCTATCACTCCATGTTCACATGGCCTTCTTCTTCTTCTTTTAAAATGTTTTTATTGATTTTTAGAAAGAGAGGAAGAGAGCGGGAGAGAGAGAGAAACATCAATGATGAGAGAGAATCATGGATTGGCTGCCTCCTGCACGCCCCCTTCTAGGAATCCCGCCCACAACCTGGGCATGTGCCCTGACCTGGAATCGACTTCTTGGTTCCAGGGTCGATCGATGCTCAACGTCTTCTTCTTAGTGCCTTTGTGTGTCCTCGCCTCTTCCTACAAGGACAGAAGTCATTTGATTCAAGGCCAAGCCTAAATCCAAGAAGAGTTCACCTCAGGATCTTGAACTAATTACATCTGCCGAGATCCTATTTCCAACAAGGTCACGTGCTGAGGTTCCAGGTGGATGTGAATTGTGGGGGGGGGGGGGGAGGACACTATTCAACCCACTACACTGTCAAACACCCTTTCATGCGTGGGACAGCCCCCCCGCCCCAACAAAGAATGAACTGGCCCAAATGTCCACAGCGCCGAGGCTGGGAAACTGCTTTAGAGGGAGGCGTTTCCTCTCTGGGGAGCAGTGAGAATGCACCTGTGCGGATCCAGGCAGCTGCGAAGAGAAAGGGTCTCAGAGCAGCTTAAAGTCTAGAGACCACCCTCACCTCCACTTTTCTGGGACCACTTCCTGACGGCCTCGAGTATCTCCCTGTGGACGCTGCCCCCTGCCTAGCATTATTTTTGTAGCACTCTGCATTTTGACTTAGGAATGATATGGTCAGATCCACCCAAAGTATGAAGCTTCAACCATGAATAGGTTGGGCATCCACCTATGAACCAGGAGGTCGCGGTTCGATTCCCAGTCAGGGCACATGCCCGGGTTGCAGGCTCAATCCCCAGTAGGGGGTGTGCAGGAGGCAGCTGATCAATGATTCTCATCATTAACGTTTCTCTCTCTCCCTCTCCCTTCCTCTCTGAAATCAATAAAAATATATTTAATAATAATAATAATAAAAAGAAGTACCAGGCTTCTTTTTCCCCCAAAGGGAAGTTGCTAAAAAAAAAGTCAGATAAAGAAACTGGCTTATGGGCAGTGACTATTTGTATGTCACAGAAAAGAGACCAGCCCGGGGAGGTGGCCCATCATCTGATGGCTCCAGAGCACTTTCCTCTCTTCTGTCAACAAATATATGAGCACCTGCTACGTGCTTGGCCCTAGGGGTGCAGCAGTGAGCAGCAAGCTCACCAGGAGCTCCCAGTCTGACGTGGAGAATGACAGTGAGGGAGGTGCTATAGGAGAGAAATACAGCGTGTCCAGATTTCAAGGGGTCATGGATCAAGTGAGGTCAAAGTATGTTCCACGTCCGTAGATGCTGTTTAACAGTTCTTATACCAGGCTTTCACTTTTTAAAAAAATGTATATTTTATTGATTTTTTACAGAGAGGAAGGGAGAGGGATAGAGAGCTAGAAACATCGATGAGAGAGAAACATCGATAAGAGAGAAACATCCATCAGCTGCCTCCTGCACACCCCCCACTGGGGATGTGCCTGCAACCAAGGTACATGCCCTTGACCGGAATCGAACCTGGGACCCTTCAGTCTGAAGGCCGACGCTCTATCCACTGAGCCAAACTGGTTAGGGCTCACTTTTTTTTTTTAATCCTTACCCGAGGGTATCTTTTTATTGATTTTTTTAAAGAGAGAGAGGGGGCGAGAGGAACATTGATGTGTGAGAGAAACATCAATTGGTTGCCTCCTGTATACAGGAGGATGCTCCAACCAACTGAGCCACCCAGCCAGGGCCGGGCTTTCACTTTTTAAAATGGTCAGTGAGTGTGGCACTGTGCCCTCCGCCCCCTGCAGTCGGTCACTTTTTCACACGCAGCTATGGAGCCTGGATCTGTGTCAGGCA